GCTGTGGTGTTCTTCTGCTGAGTACGGCTCTGCTGATAATTCGGCGGTAGTTGAACATGAACCGTATCTCCGATACCCTCAGCGTTGTCCTTGTTCTCACGAGAGAACAGCTGTTCTGTCAATATATTGCTGTAATCGAGCGTCTCCTCGATATCGAGCACTTCTGCTGCCTCTCGAACGTAGCTCTTCTCTGCGTACTGGCCTTTGCCGTCACAGAGCTTGCCTCGAATGAAGACAACATCTCGGGTTCGTATCACTCGTCCGATGGATGGCAACCACACTCGGAAGATATTGGTAGAGTCAAAGCCTACCAGGTGGCTGATAAGAGCTCGAGATTCGAGCTTGGCTCCGCGTGGCAGCTTCTCATTAAGCACATAGGCTCTCGCTCCAATCACCTCAAGGTGAGCAACTAATGGCTTAATCCTCTTGACTTTAGTGTATAGGCAGCTCCAGCCAATTGCTTCGACTGGCGTACGATTGAGTAGGTATATTGCTGACATGACACACTCGTTGGCGTACTCCTTAGGTAGACCAGCGTGCAGTCGGATAGCTCTGCCTTGAATCACAATCGCCTTCCCTGCGCGCTCAATCGCTCCATTCTGAGCTTCTGTCGCTCTCGGCTCAATCGCAATTCCAAGGTCTCTGCATATCTCAAGCAGTTCAACGTATCCAGTCTCCATGTCCAGCCTCACGATGATAACCTGGCGATTAAACTGCCGCTTAATCTTAGCTAGCAGTCGTTTGAAGACTCGTGTGAGAGTAGATTTTGTCTTGTCTAGCATACAGCTTCCTTCATGCCACTTCGTGTCCTGGTCAATCATGTGGAATAGGTATTGGTCGCCGTTATAGCAATGCTCGCCTTGCTCTAGTAGCTGCACTAGATCAATACTGATGCGCTCGAACGGTCGGGTAGCTGGCTCGCGCGGTGGCCTCCGGCTGACCAGTTTCGTCAATTTCGACTGTATACAGATCTCACAGTCCTTCCACTTTGGTGCTGGGTTGCCGTCTACCAGCTGCAGCCCGTCTACGCTATCCGGCAGTCGATCGATCGCCTGTCGGCCTGCGTGACCCCACATGATGTGAGCCTCCTCTGGCGTAATCTGTAGTGGCTTCCTGGGCTCGTACGAGGGCTTCTTGTGGGCATGAGCTGATGCTGCAAGTAAGGAGCTGGCGTCTGGTCGCTCCATGCTGTCGGCATCTATCAGCCAATGGCCGCCCATGTACTGAAGCTTGCTTATGACGTTGTTCCATCTGCGTTGGTACAGGCAATCTCGGCCTGAGTTGAAGTGTATACCAACAGATCGACAGCGAGATAAGCCAACAACGTTGGTGAGAAATCCTGGCACATAAGCCACGTAGGTGAGCTCTATCTGCTCTGTGCCTGTAGGCGTGTCGGTGAGTAGAACCACATCTCCCCACTCTTGTATCTGAAGCTCTTGGTTGCCAGCTTTGACAACCTCACCTTTCCCATTAGCTCGCTTCTTCCAGCCGTACGCTCTAGTGTTAGTGACATGCGTGTTCGATCCTGGGTCCAGGATCCATCGATTGATCAGGCTTGGCTTGATTACCTGCTTGTTCGTGCAGTCTGTGCTCATAGTGAGCTGTAGCACATGGCTGTCAAGGTCTTCGATCGTCGGACTACGGTCGTCAAATCGACGCGGTGTAATCAAGGCTATTTTAAAAGCTGCTGTGCCTGTGTTTGCCTTTAGAGCTGCCTGCATAGCTCGTCCAACTGGGGACTGGCTCTTGATAGCTTGACTGAACTTTTCCTGGATATCAGGCTTCGGCGTCCAGCCTTAAGGCTTGCCCTTCCCTCTAAGGTACTAACAGTCCTTAAAGCGGTGCTTGAGGCCGCACTTGCATTCAAGCCTTCTTTCTTTGTTGCTACTCTGCGTCTCTGCGCTGTCCGATCGTCTGTCAGAGCTCTGATCGATGCCTAGTGTCGCAAATGTACCAAGCGACGATGCCACTGGCCTTGTTGAGCGCCAGTACATGGAAAACTCGGCCACAAGATCGTCTAACGTCGGGATCGGCTGAGCGTTCAGCTGAGCTCGAAACAATGTAGCTTGCTGGGTCGTTGCCCAGGTATTGTCAAGGCCCTTGATGGCTAGCAGGAAGTCGCGCTGTGCTCGCGGTGATGTGACATCAGGCAGATGGATTGCCTCACACATCCGCACGACGTGCAGCCACTCCTCAAGCCAACTATCAATGTTGTTCCTTGGTCGACTCTGTAGTTGTCGATACTTGGTTATCAACTGTAGCTCCCTCTCAGCCGTCGATGGGCAGAGGTGCTTCTTCAACCTCTTCAAGCGAGCGTACGAAGTATCGTCGCTCTGAATCAGGTGTATATGGCGGCGGCTGATTGTTCGGCCGATCTCCTGAGTAAAGTCATTTAACGCTTTCCTCTTGATCGTGTATCTGGCCAGTGCTCGATCGTAGTTCCGCTCCGCCTGCTGGTATCGCTGGAACTCCTCAGTCGTCATGTCCTTGAGCACAACGCCGGTGTCCTCTTCAGTCTCGTCATGGTACTGCTCCGCCTCGACGGCTGCTGGCTCCTCAAGCTTCTCAAGGGCCCCCTCATCAAGATCAGGGTTAACCATAGACCACAGTTGATGCCTGTCCGCGCTATCCTTTCGTAGGAAGATCCATTCCTCCCAGTCCGCAGGCTTCTCGAGTATAACCGTCGTCCTCGTAATCAGTCCATCCAGCTCGGTAGTAGCCATCCTGAAATCAGGCTCTATCGGCTCTCAGATGTCGACTCTCGTACGGGACAGTGCGCTCGAGGCTCTTGACAAGGTAAGGTAAAGGTAGCGGTTTGATGACGTAGCTCTGTTGACAGCAGTCAATAGCTCGTCGGCATGCAGTAGCGGATACAGCGTGTGTAGTCAACAGCCGGGCTCATAACTGTAACTGCCTGGTGCAGTGTCAGGTGGAGGCTGGGATCAACAATTGTATTGCTATCTGTTGTCGTGTTGTGATGATTGTGTACGGAGCTCTCAGCTCTGAGGTAAGTGCACTTGCCCACTGGGCGGTACCTGCTACAACAAGATATCATGTGACTTCACCCACGTGGTTACATATTGTGAGATCAAACGATCGTCCAGGGGCCGGTCACGCGCTCAGCGCCTAAGCAACATCTCCTCAAATGTGGCCCTGTCCTGTGCCACACCATCTGAACGTCGCTGCTTGAGGCTCACAAGTTCACTCTCTGCTTGCTCGAGCTTTGCCTAGTACTCGTCAGCATATGGACATCAATTCTTTCCAGACTGCCATGTACCGTCAAGGCTTGCAAGTCATCCGTACTCTTGACACAGACGTTGTACCACTTCTTGGTCTTCGGATTCTGCAAGTCGTGCTGCTTCTTGGATGCTAACTTGCCTCTCGCGCGAATATATATTTTGTAAGTCTTGCGCTCAGCTTTGCGTATCTTGGCGAGTTCTTGTTCCTTCTCCTTGATCTCGGAAGTGAGCTTTTGGACACGTAAGGAGAGCTGTGGAGATAGTCAGTGATCCGGATCACCAATTGCTATGGGAGAACTAACCGTAGAGAGAGGTGCCATGATACGTCTGTCGAAAGAGGCTGAGAAATGGTTGGGTTCGACTTAACCGCAGAGATGAGGGCAAGAGAGGCTTGAGAAAGCATCTTTGAAAGGCTATAGGAGGTGTTTCCACTGTGAGAGACCAGTGGAATTCGAATGTAGTAGCCATTGCTGATCAAGCACATGGGCGCAGTGAAAGGGCATGGATATATACTGTGGATTGGGGGGTGTATGGCAACACTGGAGGACGTGGAAAGTGAGCTTCTGATACTTATTTATCAAGCTGGCAGTTTGCTACTGCAGCAATTGGCTTGATCATTTGGCGAATGGACAATCAGAACCGTGAGTACCGGCTGACTTGACGCTGAGCGTGAGATAAACTCAGCGCTAGTAGCAGCGCAAGATCGCGTACCACGGCGGGCTATCTAACAGCGATATCTTCACGGGCTGCTATAGTTCACCTATTACGACCGGCGTGATGGTGCCTATAACCAGCCTGGATCACGGTCGCAGTACTGTGAGTGAGAGATAAGGCGTGCAAACATGGAACAAACAAGCTCGAAAATGACGTAATTGTCGAGAAGAATGTGACTGCAATGCACAATAGGTCAAATGCAGTGTTTACAGATTGTATTGGAAGAGACTACAACACTAGATGGTCAGGACGCCGCGATGAGCAGATCGAGTCGCATCAAGATATGGGTTGACGAGCTGTCAAATGGCGACAGCTGCTCGTATGAGGTGATGAGGAGTACGTGGGCGTGAGATTATATCTCTCAGGCGGGAGGGAGAGTGGGCAGCAGGCCACGGAGCCTCATGTTTTCAGGGGTAGTTGATGGCCATCTGCTAGTACCTCGAAATTGACAAATCTGCCGGAGGCTACAATAATTTGGTTGTTGGAGTCGATCATATTTGCTTTGCGACTCGGCAGACATGGTCACGATTGAAAAGTTCTACACGTGTTGCTAGCGTGTTGCTAGTCTATAATCAACTACCTATGTATCGGCAAGACGAAGCAAGCAGGAGCGCAACAAGGCAACGACGACATGAAGGTAACAAGCAGTGCACAATTGAAGGATGCAATATAATTTTCCACTATCAGTTCTTCTGTCCTCTCATGCAGTATGCAGGCCTGAACAATCGAGAAACACCAACTCCAAGTCCAGGTATTCGTAATGAGTATCAAGTAAAATCATCGAACAGTGGGCATATGTATACCCACAACCAACAGAAAGGCAATAGAAAATATGCTATCATCGAAGAGGTAGGAAGTAGGAAGGGCGCTGACGTCGTTCGTGGGATCGACCGCGTGAGGTGCACAATCTAGGGCCTCTAGACCACCTAAGCCACCTATACATCGTCAGAACCTGGGAAAAAAGGACTACACCAGCTGCCAGGCAGCCTAGTGCTTGCAACAACACACATGTGGTCCTGCTTTTAAGACCTCTGGGAGGGCCTGCGGGTTGTTGTCAGTCGTTGTGGATGCTGAATTGGATGCGGGAAAGCTTACCTGATCCTCGTACTTCTTGAAGTTCTCCATGAACAGGCCACCCAGCTTCTCAACCTCACCCTTGAAGTCTGCAGTTCCGTTCCAGCTCTTGGCCGGGTTGAGCAGCTCGTCGGGGACGTTGGGGCAGGTCTTGGGGACCGACAGGTTGAATGTCTCGTAGGTCTCGTACTCGACGTTTGCGAGCTCGCCGGAGTGGATGGCGTCGAGGATGGCGCGAGTGTACTTGAGGGGACAGCGCTTGCCTGAGGATGTTGTCAGTACAGAATCGGTGTGTTGGAAAGATGTTGAACTTACCACCAGTGGTAGCACCGGCACCGACCCAACCGGTGTTGAGGAGCCAAGCGTTGGCACCGTGCTCCCGAATCTTCTCCGCGAGCATCTTCGCGTAGCGCATGGGGTGGAGGGCGAGGAAAGGCTGGGCGAAGCAGGAGGAGAAGGTAGCCTGGGGTTCAGTGACACCCTGCTCGGTACCGGCCATCTTGGAGGTGTAACCGGAGATGAAGTGGTACATGGTCTGCTCTGGGTTGAGCTTGGAGATGGGAGGCAAGACACCTCGAGCATCACAGGTGAGGAGAATGATGTTCTTGGGGTGGCTGTCCGACTTGCAGGGGATCTTGGTGTTCTCGATGTACTCAATGGGGTAGGCGCAGCGGGTGTTCTCGGTCAGAGTGTCGTCGTCATAGTCTACAACACGGGTAACGGGGTCGAAGACAACGTTCTCGAGGATGGAACCAAACTTGATGGCGTTGAAAATATCGGGCTCCTTCTCAGCAGAGAGACCAATGGTCTTAGCGTAGCAGCCACCCTCAATGTTGAAGACACCAGTGTCGGACCAGCAGTGCTCGTCGTCACCAATCAGCGCTCGCTTGGGGTCAGCAGACAGGGTAGTCTTGCCAGTGCCGGAGAGACCGAAGAAGACGGTGACATCACCGTTCTTACCCTCGTTGGCGGAGGAGTGGAGAGTGAGGACGTTGTGCTTGACGGGCATCTCATAGAAGAGGACTGTAAAGATTCTGTCAGATGTTAGCCTGGATTCATGTAAGTAGGGAAAGAGATGTAAATTACCCTTTTTTCATTTCGCCAGCGTATTCTGTTCCGAGGATAACCATCTCCTTGTCGGCGAAGTTGATAGCCACGGAGGTAGCCGATGTCATACCGGTGGTGTACCTGTTGGCAGGGAAAGCACCACCGTTGTAGATAACATAGTCAGGATGGAAGTGCTCAAGCTCCTCTCTCGAAGGACGGATCAACATGTTGCGCATGAAGAGAGCGTGGTAGGCGCGAGCGCAGACAACGCGCACGCGAATCCTGTAGCGCTCGTCCCATCCTGCGAAGCCGTCGACAACGTAGATACGCTTGCGGGTGTTGAGATAGTCAATGGCACGCTCACGGTTGATCCGCCAAACCTGCGATGTGATGTTAGCGAGATGTTCGCTGCCCACGTGATGAATATCCCGAACAGAGCGTCCTGCATAAGGAAAATGCGGGGGAGCCGAGCTCTAGCGCCACGCGCTGGGATCAGGCCCCAATCGGCTATGTGCCTAGCGCGCATGACGTCTGCCGCCGATTTTCACGAGACAATTTTGGTGCGAACTCCAAAGAAGCTCGGCAGGGTAACCGGAAGGCTGAGAATGAGCTGCACTTACGTCGGGTTTCATCGGCTTGTTGACAGGGCCCCACCAGATTTCGTCCTTCGACGAGTCCTCCTCGACGATGCGCTTATCTGAGGGCGAACGGCCGGTCTTCTCGCCAGAGTATGCTGAGAGAGCGCCGGAGGATGTGATGGCGGAACCAGTCTCGTAAACAAGGGCATCTTCGTAGAGAGCCGCGACTGAAGGGTTGGCAATCTGGATTGTGGTCAGCTCGAGATCCGGGCGGTGGTGAGGTCGGCAGCATACAATGGCTACGCGGTCATAGTCAATGTGAGCCTTGTCGTGGAGCTCCTCTTCAATCTCAGTGTGCTCCTTCTTCGGCCTGAAAGCTCTTTGTTAGCTGTGCTTGCCTCGACCTCGGCCAATTGACCTGGCCGGGATAGTGAGGTCACTCACGTAATGCCGGAAGGGTGGAGATTTGTCTTGTTAACTTGAGGAACCATTGTGAGTGCAAATGCAGGTACAGAGGAAGAATGGAAATGTGATCGCTGCTTGAGTGACACCTGGTGACGGACGAAGTCTTGGGTCAAGGGAACTGGGCTTATTTTTCAAACCACGGGGTCTGAGGCTTCTTTAATAGCGCGACGATATTCCACACTGACGACGTCGCTCACCCTCAGTCTGGATGTGGACCGGGGAAGGACTAGGTCAGCGCGTGCTGATTGGGTGAATGGTCGCGCACTCGTGGTGTTCGGCTCACAGCTGACGAAAATAACGCGGAAGTTCGCTCGAGAGCGTGAAAGACTCGGAACAACCGACCGGCAACTGTGCTTAGGAACACGGCTGCGCGAACTCACAGCCCTCGCAACGATGCGCCTAATGAACATGTCTCAGAGAGAATACCTATTGCAAACGTGTACGCATGCAGTCGCAGGTATCATTGTACCATGCAACCTGTCCTGCCCGCAACCCCTCCCTCGTCGCAGCCAAGCACTTCGAGGTGCGCTCTTACAATCACAGGCGCCGCATTGGCTCAGAGTGTCAGAACTCTTGGGCGCGTCTGGCCGCCCCAGACGGCTGATCGGTTTTACCCCACAGCAAGCCTTGCGTCACAGAAAAAGATGCCTGGTGCCGGAAAGGGGCCTACGCTACTTTTGTGAGGGGGCCAATGCGTCATCTATGGTTGGCCTGCACCACCCACAAATAACCCACATCAATGCGCGATTGCTAATGAAATGGAAGAGAATGCAGCCCTCGTGATGGCCCTGCGAGGTCCGTGAAGAAATTGTGAAACGATTGTGAAGCCGTAGCGGACCTAGGCAATCACGGGCGCGGCTCTGCAGCCCAAAGCTACCGAACACCCTCATGCACAATCACGATAGTCGGTATGGCTGGGCACGAAGAGGCGGTGCAGATAGCAGCGGTTCCGATTCCAGCTCGTGGGCTAGCAGATCTCTGCGCTTGCAGTGGACCATTACGATTCACAAATCAGCATTCCGGGCGGACGGCTGTCGCAGAAAGTGCCCTGGTATTCGTGATCGGAACTGCTTGAGGCATTTCGTTCAGCAGCGCTGCACAGCAGCTGCCCTCCCGGGCGCGAAGTGGAGTGGCTTAAGCCGAGATATAATTGTTTGATACCTAATGCTCAGGCTATTTCGAGAAATGCCGCACGCGTGGTTCACGACTCGTGGAGATGCAGCTCGTGACAGCTGCGGTGCGTTCCCGCGGTGTCAGAATGCAGAGCCGTTTGAGAGCCTCACGAACGCTTGTGACAGGACGTAGAAGTACTCACCGAGACTTCATTTCCGCAGTCACACCGCTTCAAGTACTACACACCACAGCCAAAATGGATCAACCTGTACACGTGCTATACGTCCGTGTCAACACCGCGAAGCTACCCGTTGCGCCTCAACTCTACCACAAGCTCCAGACTCGCGATGCTCGGAATGGCACAGATGCGGAAGAGGTGTTTCGCGGGGAAGAACCAGGAGCGGATAGGACGATGCTAAAGCTCAATTGGGCGGTTCGCTGGTGGCTCGGCCGCGGGGCTACGATTTCACCCGAACTCAGGAACCGATTGCGCTACAATTCTATACCGAGCTCTATGCTGCATCACCACTCCGCTGCTTCTTCTTTGCCGCCTTCTCTTTCCTCGCTAAGGATCTGAAAACAGAAATGATCTTGCACATGCCGCCAAGGTACAGATAAGTGCAGAAAAACACAAGTGCAAAGCTGAAGAAAATGTACGCCCACATAATGACTGCAACATCGTTAGTCAGGTACCACGACCTAGGAGGTAGAGACATACCGAAGTCCCGCCAGATGTTCTGCGGGAACACGTTGAAACTTGCTGCAAACGCATCACCGGTAGCGAATTGGCAGTATCCACAGGTCCCGTCGGCTTGCGCTTCCACGTACCCGTCTGACTGCTGCGCGAATTGCCCAGCATACGCCTGAAAGTCTTGGCCAGGTGGGGGAGGGAAGATCGCCAGCTCGTTAGTGTCGCACCTGATCTGCTGACCCTGGGTGAGCAGAGCAAGGAACCCTTCGAGAAGGTATTTGAAGGGTGTGAGCCAATACATCCATGCCTGCCAGAAGCTGGGCAGGCCGGCGTAGGGGACGACTACACCACGGAGAGAGACGATGAAAGCGAAGAACAATGGCACAAATAGTGACGCGAGCAGCTCGTTCGGAGCGAAAGATGCAATCGCTTGACCAAGGCCAAGGTAGAAGACCTCGAAAAGCATGACGAATAGCCAGATGCTTGCAGCTGTGTACGTGTCGCGGGGAAAGCCCGGCGGAAAATACCAGCAGCACCAGTAGATGGTACCAGTCACAATACGGTAGGGCAGCTCACTGAGGATAGCACACCAGGTCCAGGCAGTTCACGAGTAGATTTTGGCGTTGCCTTCTCGTGACTCGTAGATCGACCGGATGTTGATAAAACGGGGTTGGAGTTGCTGGATCAGAGGCGGGGAGATGGTTAGGGTCATGAAGACCGAGAAGAGTCGAGACTGCATGTCAATCTGGAATTGGCCCAAGTTCCAGAAGGTGAAGCCGTTGAACAATCCAGTGACAATGTGGAGCGTAACGATGCCAGTTACATAATCAGGATCCCGCCATACGGCGACGAAGTTGCGGTGCACGACTGCAAGCCACTGTGTCATGTATGGCATGGCATATTGTCGGTCGTCTTTTGTCTCATCGTTCTGCGATGCAGACTTCCGCTTCGATGCGATGTCCTGGATATCCCTGCCGAGCTTCTGGTTCTCTTCGGATCGCGCCCACACATCGCCCCAGTCCTCGCCCTTGTAATCAGGATTGCCAAAACCGATGGCTTCAAGCGTGTACTCAGCTGTGTTCCCCTTAGGCCTGCACTTTTTTGCACCGTTGCTCTCCAGGTACTTGATCAGAGTCTGAGAGTCGTGGCCGAGATCGCCAAAGTAGACTGTGCGGCCACCAGACTTCAGCAAGAGAAGCTGGTCAAAGTTCTCGAATAGGACAGCACTGGGCTGATGGATAGTGCAAAGAATAGCTTGGCCAGCGTCGGCGAGCTTGCGAAGGAAACGGACAATGCTAAAGGCAGCGCCTGAGTCGAGTCCAGACGTAGGCTCATCGAGGAACATGAGGAGTTCGGGCTTACTGGCGAGCTCAACCCCGATAGCAAGCCTCTTCCGTTGCTCTTGATTCAAGCCAGAATCTGTAGTACCAATAGCTGCGCCTGCAATGTCGCGCATCTCGAGAAGATCGATGACAGTCTCAAAGTAGTCATATTTCTCCTAGAGAGGGGTCTCCTTCGGTTGACGCAAGCGGGCAGAGAAGCGCAAGGCTTCACGCACTATGCTGGTCGACTCGTGGATGTCCATCTGCTCGGTGAAACCTGTTGAACGCTGGAACGAAGATGGCAGGGGCTTGCCGTCTACGAGGAAGTCGCCATGTACCACACCAAAACAAATTCGCTGCGCCAGGGTGCTCAACAAGGTGGTCTTGCCAGATCTAGAGGCACCTATCAGGGCTGTCAGCTTTCCAGGCTGTACAAAGCCTTGCACATCCTTGAGGAGCGCGCGTTCGCCCTTCTCATACGGAATAGTGTAGGTGATGTTCTGAAACGTAAAGATCGTTTCGTTCTTCGCAATGCCACTCAGCTTGCCGCTCGAACTCTCGCTTTCATACTTCTCATTGGAGGCAGCAGCCTCGATATTGCCTGCTTCTTCATCACCGGGCTTCTGCTGTGTCTCCATATCCTTCTCAATGGCTTTGGGTACCTGTCCTTGCTTGAAGATAGTGACTGTACCGCCTCCCTTGTTAGACTTCTGGCTCTCCATACCGATGGCTGTGAGACAGACAAAGAAAACGAACATGCCTTTGATGATACCGAAATTGCGCCACAGGTGGCTACGTCTATAGCCAAAGGTGGCATCTGCATAGTCAGTGCCCGAAACGGTAAGCGAGCCTGGCCTGCTTCCTTGAATGGCACAAGACTGGTATTGTTCCTGAGCGCCGGGAATATCAGGGGTAATATAAGGAGGCGTGCATTGGATCTCAAGATTGTAGAATTCGTTGACCAACAAGCCCTCCAAACCATACTGAATGGGGTTGATCCATCGCAGCCAACTGAACCAGGGATGCATCCTGCTTGGAGGGATCAGATAACCTGTGTAGACAACAAGTGCCTGTATGGCAACACCGGTGATGCGCGTGGCAATGTCGAGGAGCCCACCAGGGAACCGATTGCGCGAAAAAAGCGTACACGGTCATGGTAATGACCCAGAGAAACAGCAGCGATATGGAGAACTGCGAAGCCGTACGCTGGAGAAGTGCGCGATTACCGGAGCCGAGAAGATGTAGCGAGGAGACATATCAGAACCTAGAAAGTATGTTGCGGTAGACGTAGCCGCTATATGTATCGATGGAAAACTGCGCTGAGTTGCTTGCTAGCTAGGAGGCGACCATATATACATGTCCTGAGACGTGCCATTTCAAGGTCGTCAACAGAGGTGACGATCAAGGCTATAGGGACGGACTCGTACAGCAACAAAGTATGATCCTTGAAAAGATCCAGCTCTGTAAGCCGTGTCACAAGCATAGTCTCTTTAAAGTCTCACTCATCTCGCTGCAGTCGTGAGACATATATCATAAACTCAGATTTTACCAACGTTGGGAACAAAGAGTCACCTGTGATAATCGAGGAACTGTAGGAAGCTCCGAACAAAGCTGACATGAAGCTGCACCAGGACGACACAGTTCAGATGCCAAGCGATTTGACGCACGTGTAGATCAAGCTTTACCAGTCGATGCTGAAAACCGAAGCTCCCAAAGTCTACGATGCGGCGCTTAATCGGTGTGCTAGCATCGGCTGAATCAAGCGGGACCTCAGTGTATACGGTGCAGATTCCGCAGTATTTCAGATTCGCCAATATGCAACAGACTGAACTGACAGAGAAAGAATACCACGTGAGGTATTTTCTATTTACAAGAGATTATGGTAATCCTTCCGCTGTGCTCTAGTCAATGCTGTACATGAATAACTTGCAGACGCAGTGGACGTGATATATTTCACGACATCTTTCATATCTTCAAACACTACAATCACAGATCCTGACTATCAATATCAGTACGCAACGGGTCGACCATGTAAATTGTATAATTCAACTATGGATTCTAAGAGCGTTACCCGTCGCACCTTGTCCGACGAAAAGATATCTGAGCTTCATGCGCGGATGGCCGAAATACAGGAGCGCATCCGCGATATGACCAAGCTACGAGACTATATCTACACCGAAAAACTACAATCCAGATAATAAATAAGTAATACTGAATATGCCAACGTCTATAGCCTTACTCTTGACCTGATGAGACCCAGCGGTTGGAAGATACAAGACATTCGAGTATTGTAGATCGTCTCTTGATCAAGAGATACGCGCCAATAGTCAACAGAGCGGAGTATGGGCACTATTACAGAAATTCAGGCGGTATTGGCTGTGGTATCAGAGCAACATGTATGTTTGGAGCAGTCAAGTGCAGACGAAGAGAATGGAGAGAGTGGGTCTTGAAATTTCCGCTTCGTGGGTTCAGCGCCTGCACTATCCATCATTATCTGTGGCAGTCGTATATCTTCTATCCCTCATTACCGCCCGGCACGCATATTACTGTACGATTCCTTGCCTCTGCTCTTTGCCTCTGCATTTTGAGCAGATTTCTTCTTCTCTGCCACGTAAATCGCGCTCAGTCTTGTTCGCTTTTTCCGTAGTCTCGCAATCTCCCAGTCTGTTGCGACAATAGCCAGTCGAAGGGGAAGACCTTTCGAGCGGTCGACATTCTTTGCTTTATCGCGAGGATCTACGCGAGGAGGCATGATCAGGACTACTTTGTCTTTGGTGATGTGTTGAAGTGGTAATGTTGATGGTTAAGAGCAAAGGTAAGAACAATGCCAGCGCTTTTATGTGTGGCTGTCTGATTTGAGACATTGCCTGTTCTGTGCAGTTCTATTCATTTTCGTTACTTCGAAAGTTTTGGTTTACGTTCCATCGTTGTGTCGAAAGCACGAGAAACCTCTTGTAACATCTCAGTGAGACAAAAGAAAATCAAACATTGCAAAAGCCCAGAGCCCACAGATCGATTTCGAAGGCCAAATTCTCTCTCACCTCATTCAGAGCTTCTTTTAATGAGCAGGAATATTCTTAAAGGCCTGAGTGAGTACTCTCCAGAGCTCTTTCTCGCGAGCTTTGCAAATAGTGACCCACTGGAAAGTGCGGCATGCTCGAACTGAGTAATCCGTTGCTCGCGGGCTTTCCCTAACTGCTTGTAGGCCTCCTGGCGTTACTCCAGACCTTCTTCTTCTTCTCCAGTCAGAATTTTGTTCTGCCAGCTCAAGGCTACTGTGGTCAGCTTGAGTGGTGGAGTGGTGTCTTCGTTTGCGCAGGGCATGATGTCAATTGCTCTTAGAGTCAGAAATAATTGTGAAGTACTGTCAAGGAGAAGAGGAACACCCCGCTAACAAACGACATAGACGACTCGTCTTCACTTCCCCCGCTACCTGCAAAATACGTCACACCATCACGCACAGATACAAGCTTCGATTCGGTCGCAACAAACATCCATGGATGTATCAAGCTTTCAGATTTATCTGATCCGCAGAGCAGATATGTACGTATGCTATTCTCTCGGGCTTCTCCCATCTCCTTCCTCGCCATACGCATGCTCGTCCACAGTTTCCTCAGCTGCTCCCAACAGTCCCTTCTTCCTCAGCCACGATTCAGGGATTTCGAAGTGGGGGCATATTTTTTATACACTCGCCATCTTTGCGTCCATATGGGCGATGATTTTATTAAACTTGGCAATGTTCGTAAGAAGATTCTCATTGAGCGGCCGATTTTGGGCAACGATGGCATTGCTCAAGACCGGCATCACACACCTTGATTCTAGTTTGAATCTCGAACTCTCCAAAGACGAAATAAAAGTCTTGCAGGAGCTCGAGCCCCGTGATCATGGTATGTGCAGTATGGAGCTGCCGATCTTTGGCCGCCAGGAGCATCTGGTACGCGGAGGATGTATGTTCTGCCACAGCAGCGATGGAAGGGCGCAAACTATTGTAGAGCCTGCAACATCGTGTGGGTATCAGGAAGTAATTTGTGGAGGAACGATCATTTATTATTTTGTCTATGCGTAAGTCTTAGGCGAGCTCAGTTGCCTTCACCTCAAATCCAAGCCGCTGCTACCCTCACTTCTCTGCGCTTTCAGCTTCCTGTTCTACATCCTCTACAGGTGATTCTAGCTGGCTTTGTTCATCTTTAGCTTTCATCTTATCCATGACCCACTTCGGAATTTCCCAGTAAGGGTGCAATGTGTAGACGCCTTCGAAGGCTTCAAGGAGTTCCGCTCCAGCAAAATGTCCGTCTAGCACTGCCTTGAATGCAATCATCTCTTTCGTGAGGCTTTTTTTCGGGAGCTTGTCTATTGCACTCTGGAATTCATCAGCACTTTTGTGGCACGAGAAATCTGGCGTGTGTGCTGACCTTCATGTCTGCGACCCTGTCGTAATCGCGCACTATAAAATTCCATTTCCGCTGCATCTTCGTGCGCTTCATAGGAGTAGATTCCTGCTGTTTTGTGGATGATGGCGGGTTATTGCCCATAACTTGGCGATAGCGATCCTGTAGGTTGCGATGTGGTGGTGGTGGTTGTATTGTAGGGTGACGTGGAATGTAGTTGTCGATAATGGGTACTTGAGGCCGACTATCTCTAGTTAGTATCTAAGTGAAAGCTAATGCCGGTGATGGACCCTGGAGATATAGCCATTCACTGTCACCTCTGCAGTTCCTACCTCAAAGATTTGTGCAAAGCAGCTTCAGACACGGAATTAAATTGATATTCCAATGCAAGAATGGGGTGTTTGTTGTTCCACCCAGTATTCTTGAGCTTGCTGTAGCTTATCGTGGAGGCCGTGAGAAGCCATGTGCGACGGTCAAATTTTGGAACCCTGAATACTCGCTACCCTGTGCCTAAACCATGCTTTGCCCCTTCCACTGTAGAAGCCGGCACAAAATAGCCCAATCAGGCGAAACCGTAGCAGATAACAGCTGACGCTTGCTTGCAAGGTGAAGGTAGGCCTTCACCAACGCGTTGTTATGACCTTACTCTACCCTCAAACGTTCTGAAATAACGTTCTAACTCTAATCACAACACTGGGACAACCCAAGATGAACTTCCAATAGCGTGTGACCCCATCACCTAACAGAATTCGCATCGAACTTCAGATGAAGAAAAGAAACGACAACGTTCATGGTGAGGTTGTGCAAGTGAAATCGCTTACGGGCAAGTGCTGACGGAGTTGAAAGGGACGAGAACCCATGCTACGGCAGAAGGGGAGCTCGCAGCGTTCGACAAAATGAACCCCGAGAACGAAGGTGAGAAAGACAGAGTAGCAACTCAGCGTTACGGACGCTAAGTCATTTGGCTGGTCTGGTATTTGGTGAAGATATCTTTCTAGCGGAACAGCGATCTTAAGGCCCTGGACGCTTGGCGCGATTCGGGCTGATCCGGTCCAGCCCTACCACGGACGTGGTTTTCCAAATTGGCTTTAGAGATGCTAAGGGGAAGATAGGGTTGAAGGTAACGTCGGATTTGGTCTAACGCAATCTTGAGGGTGACGCGGGCCTCGATGTACCATTCGAGAAATCGGTGTAGAACTGCCTTGGAGCCTTCGATGAGAAAGTAATGTGTCGAGACAATCACCATACAACAGAGAAACAATATCGAGGTGCCATCGATAACGTGTAGATGACACAAAAAAGTCAACGACAGCAAGATACGAAACTCATGACATCTTCAGTCCTACTGCCACACTCAAGAAACACTAGACATATTACTACAACTCGATCCATCTTCATACACACGCCCCTCCACGCCCCTAACCATCGCCATAGCAATCATAGGCACATACCTCTCACACCAGACATCTAACCCGCCAAATCTCTCCAAGCACTCATCTCCATACATCGTCAAAACCCATTGGTCCTCCTTGCTAAGTTCTTCCCAACGCTTGCACAGCCCGTACTCCCTCGCCTCATCCCTTATGCGCTCGCTGGCGATAACATTGTCAGTCGGCTCATTGAGGAGCGCTTGATACAAGCCGAGGAGATGCGGGATCTGCGGGTTTTGTAGTGGAAAACGGGTGAATAACTGATCATATTCGTGCAGTAGAGTGTATGGGAGATGGGGGAACAGCGTGTACTCGCGATGTCTGGTAAGGGCTTCCTTGGTCATGAAAGCAATGGGACTGGAATCTGCGCCGCGGGATGAGGCGATGGCATGGTCGTTGCTGCCTGCGAAGACCGCGGCGTGTTTCTTGGTGATGTTGTCTGGTGTAAGCGTAGACCAGTTTCGAAGAGCAGCGTCGTGGTACTTTGCCTCGACGTCGAGATACTTCTTAATTGCGGCGTCGGGCTCAGCATGAACGTTACGGGCAAGATTGAGTGGAATCAGTGGGTTCTGGACGCCGAGGCCTCCGAAGGATTGCGGGAGGTAGATTATGGCTTCAAGTGTAAGCGGTAGGATGGTTCGAGCAAAGTCTGAACGTGTGCAAAGCATGCGCCTCACGTGATCAGTGAGGTCAGTACCGCTCTCAAAGACGATGCCGAAAATCTTGTGATATGCAGCTTTCACCAAACACAGGTGATCTTTTCCAAACAGGTCGATGAGTGGACCGAACAGGTGGGCGGCGTAGGTACCTACAGTGCTGTTCCAGATGCGCACCCAGTCATACACATTAGTCTGCGCTGCGAGTTGCTTTTTGATCCGAAGGGCATAATTCTCCACTGCAGATTGATTGATGGTGAGCGCATCCGCTGAGAGCTCCAGGAAGCCGATGTGAAGGTGCTCAGGCTGTACTGAGACATCATCGAATTCGAGCTTCGTGTGTTGCGCGAAGATAGCCAGCTCTTGCAAAGCTGCATCACTATGCTCTTCGGTGCCAACGAAATAGCACCGGGACCCCAGGCGATACATTGGTAGGCCTACCTTTTTCATAACAGCCAGCTCAGCAAAGAACATTACCGCCTCGGTAAAGAGCAGCTCCAGACCGTGACGCTCAGGAACACCACAAGCCCTGGTCAGAACACGATCCCGTGTGCCACGGACTGAAGGACCGATGTTCAACTTCACTGCGAGGTAGCGAGCAAAGAAATCAGTCAGAACCTTTGGGACTCCCAAAAACTTCAGAGTTTCTAGAACGGTCTCATGCGGGAGTGCTGTCGTAAGAGAGTGGAAGTCGACAACCGAGCATATTGGCTGATCATCAAAGACTGCACGGAGTTTGATCTCTGCAGCAAGCGTCTTAATCAGGTTGGCTTGGACCTCCTGCGATGGTACGACTTTAGGCCTGCAGCCGTCTTCGCTTGGAAGGCGAGACATAAAAAAGTACGCCTTGTAGGCTCTGTGCCTCTCGTTATCCAAAGTATCGGGCGACATGTGGAATATTGACATTGGAGGCGGGGGTGGGGGTGGGGGCGCTCCTATCGGGAAAGGGAGTGGCGGCGGTGGTGGTACAACGCACATTGGCCCCGGGTAAGCTTTTGGGATCTTCTTCTTCATCTTGTTCTTCGCATATGGAGGTATGGCCCACATACCGGGTGGAAACCCAACGTTTGGCGGTGGCGGCGGCGGAGGGGGAAGGGGGCACTCCAACACTTCCGGGCAAGGCTCTGGTGGAGGAGGAGGAGGCTCAAATGGCATCGTCTCCAGGAAGAACTCCTGCTCCTTGCGGTCAGCCGAAGAAAGGCTGCGTCTGTTGTTTCGATCCGTATACCGAATGTAGTCCGAGAGACATGTCTTGAGCTTTTGTGCCCAGCCAACGGCCACACAGTGGAGAAACAGTGTGTCGATTAAGTCTTCATCGACAATGATGTGGTATTGACCCTCGGCATCCTGATGGGCGGTGACAGGTATTCCCTTATTGGTACACTTCCAACTCCATTGGCGGATGGACTTCATGTTTAGTACACCGAGAAGCTCTTTGACCGCGACTTGGCTTTGGATGTAGCCTTCAAGCGTCTTCTTCTTCTCATCGCTGAGGAGATCGTTCTCGAGTAAGTCCATGATGCACCACTCCAGCACATCTTCGTCGATCTCGCCTTCCCCGTCGAGTATGTCCTCGCCGTACCGGCGCATGTCGTCTCGAAGTTCATCCAAATCTTCTGATGAGCCGTTGCTTTCCATGATGCCTGCAAGGTATGCTTCCAATGCCTCGACATCAACGTCCTTGGCTGTAAATGCTTCGGCCTCGAACTTCTCCCATAGAGCTTCAAGTCCATCTTCGACGACTTCGAAGTCATCCTCCAGTGACAAAGCGTTGAGACCAGAAGATGGCGATCTTCCAGGCTGAGCCGACTCGATGACTTCCTTCATCAGATCGAAGTGAAGTGCGGTGGTCTCGTACCGATTGAACTGCTTATACAGCTTGTTCATGATTTGTTTTTCGAGACTCACAAGCTTCTCATGCGAGATAGCGCTGTCGTGTACGTTCTCGACGTAGCGCGAGATGATTGTGAGATCGTCATCGACTTCAAGGTACGAGTCATATTGCTTGATATTCCTGATAAGCGTAGCTATCCTCTCGAAAAGGTTGACATTGGTAGGGCCTGGAGTGCCGATACCGTAGCGAGCCTTGAAGTCTTCTTTCAGTTCGTTGAATTGATTGATCTTGAGCTCAACAACTCCGCGCAAAGGCGGATTAATAGCCATGGGTGTCATCACGCTCGAAGTAAGCATTATGATCTTGCTGTGAGTATGCTTGAGACAAAGCGGACATGAAGGCAAGTTTATAGGCTTATTCGTGTCGCCTTATGAGTAGCCGCTTTCATTGGAGGCACGTAATGCCAGGCTACTGTACACTGAGCAAGGCAGTGGTACGCCGCCAGCATGTCGCCAGAGCCAGTAATATCCCAATGGACGCCCTCTTATGCAAGGTTATCGGTTGTGCACGCTGTTGCAAGGCAGGCGTTGAGAGATAATTGGGTCTGCCAGGCCAGGCGAGCCAATTGCAAAGCTCGTTGCACTCGCCCCGCGCTGTTGACCGGTGAGTTTGTGAGACCAGGACTTCCTGGCAGGCTGGGGCTGATGTGCACACATGCAGTCAGCTTTCATTAGTACAGCTGCTATCACGCCTCTTTGAATGCAAGCTTCTGGGCTGGTAGATGTTGTTATTGTGTGGCATTGAAAGCACAGTGAGCCAACATTGTACTAGCGCCCTTGACGGCGCATACTATCGATCAATACACTACTCCTTGTATTGGACCAGATCTGTTTAGATCTGAACGGCAACTCTGTTCGTCTGGTACTTCTTCGTGCTCGGCAGCAAAATTGTGCATACAATCGCGACGCTACCGAAAGCAATGGATGTGAACTGTTTGGTGTCAGTACGTCTTTCCGTACCCTGGAAGTGGGTGAAACCTTACCCAAACATATTTCAAGCTCTGGCTGTAGGCCCATTGCACGCCCTTTGCGGCACCAGCAATCACCGCTGGCGTCACACCTTCGATCTGTGTCGTCGCGAGCTCTGCTGGTGCGGTCAAGAACACTGTGACGAACTCCATCGCGCTCGTCACCGGCAAGCCAGCTTTGATCGCATACTCTGCAGTGAACTTCGGCAAATTCTGCTCCAATTTGGTAGCAAAAGCATTATAGTAGATCGAGTAGCCGATACTGCCGCCCACGGTACGGATACTAAGCGATAACGCTGCCGCAGTAGTGATAAGCGCATCTGGGCAGACGATCATAGCGACGGTGGCAGCTGGCACGAGCACACCTCCGACACCGAGTGACGCAATCGAGCCCAAACCGACGATCAGACGCTCGTTCTCTGGAGTCATGACCGCGAGCGAACCTGCGAAACACGTCATGAGGAGCACTGCGACAAGCAGGACTTCTCGCGCGCGACCAGGGAAGACAGAGAGCGCCGCATTAAAGGAGATGGCGCCTATCGCTGTTGTGAATGCAGGGGGCATCGCACGAAGGCCAATCTTGACTGGATCGGGTTCGTATACGGATGTAAAGGTGACAGGGAAGAAGTTGAGGATGCTGTCAGGAAAATTAGTCTTCACCTCGTAATGCATTTGGCGTGACTTACGAGAAGAAGTTCATACCAGCTGCGAACGCAATAACATAAGCCAGCCCTACAATGCGTTGGCCCTTGAAAAGCTCACCAGGCACCATGGGGTAGGGCGCAAACTTCCACTCCCAGACGACCCAGGCAACGATGAGTGCAAGACCGAAGAGCAGGGTGCACAGTATGTATGCACTTCCCCACCCGTGTGTGTAGCCACCAGAGTTGAGGGCAACGAGGCTGCTCCGAATTATTATCGGGATAATGTACCTTTGGGCTAAATTGACTTACAATAAAGTCAAACCAGTAATGGACAAGAAGCCGCCCATGTAATCAATCTTCTTCAAGATTGCACGCCTGGAGAAACCATCCGCTCGAGTATGTGCCTTAGGAAAGTAGGTCAGAAGTAGACCGATGCCTACAATGCCGTTATAGATCAACGAGACCCAGGGGCCCCAACGCCAGCCGACTGTTAAGTCTCGCTGGGACCACAGCTCAACGTACAGGAGGTATGGGCAGAAGGGAAGGACAAAAGCGGTGACCAATGCCAGTGAGTAGCCGCGATACTTGACTGGAACGACTTCTGCAAGGCTAATTCCGTATCAGCGCGGAAGTGGAGCAATGGTAGCTGGGCACCTACCCAGCGAGACCCGTGAGCTCTCCGATCGCAGCGCCAACACCAGAAAGTGCCATTCCTACGATGGCTTGCCCGAAGCTCTGTGCTGAGCCGACCAGCGCACATCCAAGGCAAATACAGAAGGAGCCGAACAGAGCAATGTAGCGTTTGCCAAACAGGTCCTGAAGATAGCCAGCGTAAGGGCAAGTGGCAGCAATGGCGAGGATATTGGCAGTCGGTAACCAGACAACGCCACGAGTGATATTCAAATCTGCTCCGATGAATGACAAGGATCCACCCATGAAGTACAGGATAACTTGTGAGCCTGCAGAGTCAGTGCACAATCTCAAGAAACGGGACATAAGACAGACCAGTGTATAAAGCTGCTAGAAATATAGCCGAGAAGATACTGCGGATGCTCCAGATCACTTTGCCATCAGAATGGTCGCCTTTCACGGCGGAGGTGTTCTTCATGTCTACCCCTGAGAGGGTCTGCACCTTATGGAGATTCACCGTCGAGTCGGTCGTCTCTACACGCTCGACATAGTCGACTTCCTGCTTCTCATTGTCTGAGGTTGGGTTCGCCATCTTGGGTCACCGATCAAAATGATGTGTTACAAATGTGGTAAAAGTCAATTAAGGAGTAGAGAAGGAAACACTCTTCGAAGAGGAGTTGTACCGGGGTCGATCTCCTTGCGGTACAATTTATCACTGGCATTGAGCCCCTCCATCTCTCGGGTAACGTGGTCCTGCCAATCTAGACACAAGGCAGGCGATCGATGAGCCATCAGAGTGGTAGCGTGCCGCGACCCACATTATTGGAGGGCCCACTTTAGGTGTCAGATATAGCAAAATTCCGGGGTAGTAGCCTTAGGATTAGCGGGGAAGCCGTTAATGGCCCCACTGTGATAACCTAGATCTTCTGGTGACATCTGGATGTTGTTGCTCATACTGACTCCGCTTGAGCGACGCCCAGCCTGACCGCGATGAGGATTGGGGCTTTTCGGTAAATCCGTCACTCGACCCCGCAACAAGGTCTGAGCATGGATCGTGCGGTCGTCGAGATACTGCTACTATAGACTAGGAGTGGGCGTTGAAAGCTGAATGCTTGTTTGAAAGAGGGGTTGGCCACGGGTTGTAATGGCCAATCAGTACAGTTCAGCTGGAACGGCCGCGATCTGCAACACGAACGGCAATATGTCTGCGATGACCAAAAGAAAACCTGGGGCGTATGCACTCGCTTATTGTATCGATTGGGCGCCGCCTTCAGTACTCAAGACTCACTGTTGCTCGTGGTGGACATTGACTAGAGACATGTGATGTTGGTATCTGCGTATAGCGAGGTCGTCGGAACAGTAAGAAATGTCGGCGCGCATATCGATCTGTTGGTATTTTGTTCACAACCTGCTGCTAGGTGGGCTCCTTGTGATCCAGCTGGTGGTATACTCATCGATACTAGGTTGTGCCTTGAAATATCAGCAGGGAAGCTCTACACTCCGCCAGAGCAAGGCACTAGAGCACTTGACACTGCTTCAGGTTCAGCTTCGACGGCGATATTCGGTAAGTCGAGGTATGAATGTGCCCCAGGACGGCTTCAGTCTCACTGCTTGCTCCTAGATTACAGCGCCTACGCAGTCCAGGCACAAAAGCGGCGTTGGTAAACTCGCACGGTCGCACGTGGCAGGAACGAATAGCAGCCGCTGTACAGCCGATCACTTGGTCTGGCCCTCTTCGGCGATCATACCCTTGACGTCTTGCTCCATGAGCCAGGTGCGCACGCTGTCCATGACCTTTTCCAGTGTCTGTCCGCCGGCCATCACATCGTCGAGATTGTTGACAGTAGTGCCGCTCCTGTGGTCTGTGACGCGTTGTTGCCCCCAGTTGTATGTTCGGACCTTGTCTCCTCGACCCATCTTTGCCACACCAATCACGCTTCGGCGCATCTCTACGATCTCGTCTTCGCGTTTCTCGCGCCGTGCTTGCGCAATGCGTGAGCGAAGCAGTGTCCAGGCTTTTTCCTTATTCTTCGACTGCGACCGTGAATCCTGCATTGCTACTACCGTCCCGGTCGGGATGTGGGTCAGGCGAACGGCTGACTCAGTCTTGTTGACATGCTGCCCGCCGGCTCCACTGGCCCTCATCACCTCCTGCTTGACCTCCTTGATGTCGATGTAGTAGTCGCTTTCAGGGTCATCGTAGTCCTCTTGAGCTGCCGAATTCTCTTGCAAGCTCGGCAGAACATGTACTGACGCGGCACTTGTGTGTGTCCTGCCCTTCGTCTCGGTGGCGGGCACACGCTGCACGCGGTGCACACCAGCTTCACATCTGAAGATGCCGTACGCGTTGTCACTGTCAACTTCGAAGATGGCTTCTGAAAGCGGTACGCCTGCCTCTGAATTGCCGTTGATGTTCTCGTATTTCAGCACGTTTGTGCGGAGGTTGTTGTGGTTGCAGAAGGCCTGATACATGCGGAATAAATCGCCAGCAAAGATGGCGGCTTCTGATCCGCCCGCTCCCGGCCGTATCTCGATCAGGCAGGGGAGATGTGCGAATGGGTGCACCGGCACGAGGGAGGTGATGAGGCTGGAGGAGGCATTGACGAGGTCGTTGCGAGTTTCGTCTAGGTCGTCTGCTGCTAGTTCGCGTAGTTCGGGGTCGGTCTTCGAGTCTTGTATCATCGCAGTGAGTTCTGTCACAGACTTTAGCCCATATCAGCGACCGCCAGCCAGACGCGGGAGCCATCTCACGTACCTCATTGGCCTTATCCCATTGCTCCAAGGCATTCACGATTGGGCCATACTCGCCCAGCTTCTTTGCCGATCTCGTGTCGAAGCCATCGGCGAGTGTCTCGCTGAGGGTCTTGTGCTCGACGGCGATGCTGCGAGCTCGAGAAAGCAGAGCGGGCGGTACCGATTCGGAAGCAACTGCTGCGCATGTCAGTGCAAACAATTTAAAGAGACACAATGGATTGCATACCTGTGGACTGCTGACGCAATTGCCTTCGTACCAATGGCCGTGCAATGCGCGCAAGGCAGCCGCGACAGACCCAAGCTACTGTAAGCATAGCTGGTGTTGAAGCGTGACGAAAAAGTGCAAATCCTGACGCGCTTTCCGAAAAACGCTGGCACGTGATGTTGCTCGTTGCGCGACGGGAAATCTGATCGCAACGCTCACATCACCTCACCACCTTCCTAATTCTGACTGTCAGCCTCTATCAACAGTGGGCGCACCAATGGAGCCACACCAAAACCTCCGAGGCAACATGGAACAACTGCGAGCGGACTGCCGATTTCGCTCTTCCCCGTCGGTGTGGCGTATCTCCGGGTATAGCCGTTGACCTCATATGAACCACACCCCGCATAGAGATACCCAGTCTCAAACACCACGTCTTTGAAGCGCTCGAGCAGCCGTTGTCAGGAGTGCAACAATCAAATAACACCGAGAACCTACAATCATTGCTGTCTTGAACGAGCATTGACCAGCCATGCCCAACGTCTACCCCCACCCCGAACCTCAGTTCATCCAGTTCCCCAGTCGGCGATCTGTCGTACACAGCACAAAGGGCATTGTGTCATGTACGCAGCCTCTTGCAACTGCTGCTGGTATTGATGTCCTGAGGAAAGGTGGTAACGCCGCGGTATGACGTAATACACTATCATTTTGATGTCAATGAGCTGATTGTAGTCAGGACGCTGCAGTAGCTGTGGCAGCAGCTATCAATGTCACCGAGCCTGGGTCCACCGGTATTGGTGGCGACATGTTCTGTCTCTACTACGATGCCAAGACCAAGAAAGTGTCTGCCATGAACGGATCTGGTCGTTCTGGCTCGAAGGTTACACTTGAGCAGATTAGAAAAGACCTCAATATCCCGGATGGAGAGAATGGCCAAATCCCCATGAACAGCGTCCATGCGGCTACGGTGCCCGGCGCAGCGGCAGGCTGGGTTGACTGTCACGAGCGCTTTGGCAGCGGTAAGCTGAGTCTCGAGGATATTCTCGCCCCAGCTATCGACCTCGCCGAGAACGGCTTTCCTGTTTCTGAACTGTCAGCTACATTTGTATGTATGCCGCCCAACTTCTGCATGTCAAGGCTGATATTGTGACAGTGGGCAGAGAGTGAGTCAGCACTCAGAAAAGCGTCACCAAATGGACATGAGATGCTAAAGAAAGACTCTTCGGCGAAGGACGGCTGTCGAGCGCCCAAGGCGGGCGAGATTATGAAGAACCCAACCATCGCCAACACGTTCAAGCTTCTTGCAAAGCGTGGCAAGAAAGGCTTCTACGAAGGTAAAGTCGCTGAGCAGCTCGTGAAGGTCGTATCTGACCTTGGCGGCTACATCACCCTGGACGACCTCAAGCACCACGCCGAGACTGGCTCCGAACATGTTGACCCCATTTCGCTGAAGTACACCGGGCAAGGTGTAGGCGAGTCGACAAACGGTGGCATTGAGCTCTGGGAGCATCCGCCAAATGGCCAAGGAATCGTTGCGCTAATGGCGTTGGGCATCATTCAAGAGCTAGAGAAAGAGGGCAAGATCTCGAAGTGGGGTGTCAAGGACCACAACACAACGCAGCACCTCCACGCTACAATCGACGCCCTTCGCATCGCCTTTGCAGACGCGCACTGGTTTGTCACGGATCCGAATGTCGTCAAGGTCCCGTCCGCGGAGCTCATCTCACAAGAGTACCTCGCAGAGCGCGCAAAGTTGTTCAACCCCAAGAAGGCCGCCGATGCCCCAGTACACGGCTCGCCCGCTCATATGCGCAGTGACACCGTCTACTTCTGCTGCACAGACAAGGATGGCAATGGAATTTCATTCATCAATAGCAACTACGGCGGCTTCGGCACAGCCATCATCCCCAAAGGCTGCGGTTTCACCCTGCAGAACCGCGGTGCTAATTTCAATCTCACCAAGGGCCACCCTAACGAGCTCGCACCGAGGAAGCGACCATACCACACTATCATCCCTGGTCTGACTACCTACAGCGACGGTAGCCTGCACTCGGTGTATGGTGTCATGGGTGGCTTCATGCAGCCACAAGGCCATGTTCAGGTCCTACTGAACCAGGAAGTCTTCAAGCTCAACCCGCAAGCCGCGCTCGACTCCCCACGTTTCTGCATCGGTGCGGGCATGCCCAGCGCCGACGGCAAGATGACGGATGCGACAGTTTACCTCGAGGAGGGCATCGACGCCAAGGTTGTTGAGGAATTGAAAGCGCTGGGACACAACGTGCAGCAGCTCAGTGGCTATGGCCGAGCCATGTTCGGTCGCGGCCAGATCATTCGGAGACACACAGATGATGGCCTGACTGTGTGGAGTGGTGGCAGCGATCTACGCGGTGATGGTGCTGCTGTGCCACTGTAGACATGTGTTGATTGCTGACAGGTTTTGAATACATAGAACATATTGGAAAGTAGACCCATTCAAGCTCTGGCTCACGTGACCCCTTGACAATATAAAACCCTACCAATATTTTGCAACGACTCTCCAACCACCGCTAAATGACTTTCAGTTCTCAAAAGCATCCCATTCGTCTTAACGGAGTGTCTTTCTTCCCCCAAAAGAACATCTCTGTACCAATGATGTGCGCCTCTTTTCTCTCCACCCCACTGCATAATCGAGAACCCTGCGTGATCTTGTCCGACAAAAGCTTCTTCTCATCCTCTATGGGCTCTTATCTGTCGCAATGCCTTCAGCTTGACTACCTATGAGCCCCAAACCAAAATCGACAAAGGAAATGGCCCTTTTGCTCCGCGCGGCCAGCAGTGGACCGCTGTTGAATCAAAATATCTGGATCAGTGTCACATGTTTCTCCGAATTGAAATCGCCGTACATCTCGAGCGGGGCTTGGGTGTGTTGGTTGCTCTCGGATTCCGTGGGGATCGGCATCTACCTCCTCTCCGTGAAAACTTTGTACTGCTAAGGGGGTGTGGTGCGCGCCGCCTTGCTGCTTTTCGAAAGACGAAGTGAAGAGATGATGGCTCCTGTCTTCGAAGTGTCTTTCGCTTTTCCGACTCTATGGCCGGGCGTATATGCTTTTCGGTTTGGAATGGCGTCGCGAGATACTACACTCTGCTAAAACTTCCGGACTGAGACGACAGCGTCACCGGACATGTTCTCAGCGGACGGGTACTACTCACCACCAAAGGAAAAACACGAGCGCCTCAGACCGTGGCTTTGGGTGAGGAAACCCAGGGTAGTATTAGAAGCGCAACACATCATCGCATGAGCACTTCGTTTCGACTTCCCCCTCACAATACACATCCCCAATTTCCACGCGACGAGAACAGCAGTAGAACCTCAGCCAAACCAACCAGCACAGCCCTTCCAAGTTCCAGAAATCGCCGCGGCACTAGATCCGCAGCAAACAAACCATCTCTGCAATCGCAGCAGCAGCTAAATTCTAGTCATGTAGACGAACTACCGCCACCGAGGACGCGCCTACGCAACATCAAACAATCCAAACCCAAACGTCCCCAAGCCGCCAACGAAGCGATATCTTCGCAACCAAAAGCCGAGCCCGTGAGGACACGGAGGCATTTCCCTGCTCATGCTGCACTTCCAGAACGGCGGAACGGAGAAGGGACGAACAACGCAACCTCCAGCGGCTGGCATCACGCGCGGATTCCACGACTTTGAAAGGCAGCGGTGCCGAGCCATGGAATCTAAATAGTGTCGAGAACAAGGCAACGAAGAGGAAAAATTGGCGTTTTAAGAGTCGATGCGGTGTCGGACGGGGCACGGAAAGCCTCGAGGGTTCGGACACTCGGTGTTGGTGTGCTGCAGCCAACGAAGGAAGGAAGAAAAACAAGGGTAAGGGTCGAGCATGACACCAAAACGGGTATTCAAACACGGCGTACATTCGCCCCTCACACCAAGCTCGACTAGCAACGGGCTTTGCACGCAGCAGATGTACCCGTACACTCGGGGTCAGGAACGAGGCAGCACGACTGGATGGGCAGAGGGTGCGAGAGTGAGTGGGGCGTGATAGACGTGTTTGATTCTCTTAACAGGGATAACGTGGAGCTGCGTCCGCCCGACGCCGCAGCGTGCGGGGTTCCTCAGTAAGATGCCGAACAATGTCGATCTCGAATCGCTAGACAGACGACCATGTGCATCTACCAGACGGCGCAGGGGCACGTGAGACAGCGGTCTACGCGTCCTCATCCTCGTCCTCGTCCTCATCGTCATCATCGTCATCCTCGGCCTCACTGACCTCCTCGCCCAGCTCACGGAGTCGATTCTAGCATACGTCAGCATCACCCTCTCACGCGCGCCCGAGGGCAGAAAAGCACATACCTTGTCCCTCGCCCTCTTCTCCTCGAGCTCCTGCAGCACCACGAAGAGATCGTCGAGCTCGGTCTGCTTCTCCTGCTCCGCGTCCGCAGCCGTCTTGAGCTTATCCTCGGCAGCCTTGACTTTATCCTGCAACTCCGCGATGAGCTTCTTGCTGACCTCGGCGGCCTTGTCGTTCTTCTTGTCGGCCTTGCTGGCCGGCTGTTTCGCCGCTGCTTCCGCTTTCTTGAGCTTCTCCTGCGCGTCTTTTGTCGCGGCTTCCGCTTTCGCGAGCTTCTGGCTGGCCTCGGTGGCTTTCCAGGTCTGGTCCTGCAGCTGTGTTTTGAGCGCGGTGATTTCCGAGGTGAGCTTGTCGAGTGCGGATTTGTGCGAGGTCGACTGCTTGGTAGATGCGTCGGCTGCGGCTTTGAGGTCGGATTTGAGGTTGTCAAGTTCGGTCTTGTGGGCGGATGTGAGCTTGTCTGTTCCGCTCTGGTGTGCGGCCTTTAGTTTGTCGAGGGCGCTCTGGTTTGCGGCCTCGTTTACTGCTTCCAGTTCGAGGATGTGTGCTTGGTGTTCCGACTTGAGCTTGTCGATTGTGGACTGCAATGATTGGTTCTCTTCTGTGAGGTGCTGGATCTGGGCATCGTGCTGCTGCGACTGCGCCTGTGCCGTGCGGAGCGCTTCGCTGACGGAGGAGAGCTCGCTGCGAACCTGCTGATGCGCCTTCTCGAGCTGCTGGATCTTCTCAAACGCATCCGAGCGGGCCTTCTCTGCCGACTCGAGGCGGCGCTGCAGGTCGGTCGACGACCTGTAGGCTTCGTGCAGCTTCTCGTCGTACTCCTGCTTCGTCCGTGACACGGCGAGCGTCGACTCTTTCGCTGCCTGCTGCAGCTTGTTGTTGAGAGCAGCGATCTGCAGATTGAACTTGTTCTCCGCCTCCAGCATGGCCTTCTTGTGGTCGCGGTCCCTGGCGTTGATCTCCGTGTCGAGGTCGTTGTGCAGCTTGTCGTTGATGCGCTTGAGCGTGTTGCGCTGCTCGTCGGCGGCTTGCTGTGTCTTGCGGTGGTCTGCGTGCTCCTGGTCCAGCTTTTGCTCGAGCGCCATCAGCTGGGCCTTGAGCTCCTGGATGCTGTGCTCCTTCCCGTCCATCTCACCCCGCAGTGCGTCGACTACGTCGCGGTCGACACCGTCGTGCGATTGGTGTTGCTCAATGTTCGGGTTGCGGTCGATGGCTCTGGTGAGGCGGCTGAAGTTGTCCTTGAGGAAATCCACGCATGTGTCGACGAAGAAGACGTCCGGCAGGCTTCCCTCGCCGCCCGCGCGCTGAGGCAGGACCTCGAAGTCGCGGATGAGAGGGTGGTTGCGCAGCTCGGTGATGGCAGCGAGGTACTTTTCGCGGCCAAGTTTGCCGGTGAGGGTATCCTGCAGCTGGCGACGTGGCACAGGCGAATCTCTGGTGGAGAACTCGTAGATGGTGCCCAGCAGGGCAGCGCAGAGGCCGCGGTTGATGGTCTGGTCGCTCCCAGGCCGCAGGACAGCTTGCACGAGGCTCTGCAGGCTGCTGGCCTCGGCGAGGAAGTCGTCGACAGCTGCAGCGTCTTCGAAGAGCCAGCCAAGCAGCAGCATCAGGTAGCCAATCGATATCCGCTCATCGTCGTCGAGCTGCAGACTTGCAATCAGGTTCGCGGTCAGGGTCTGTATGCACGTGACAACCTCCTCGCCGCTGTCTGCATCGCCCTCGCTGACCTGCATCAGTTTGTGCTTTGCCGGCAGGTTGTCGAAGATGAGGTCGAACATCAAGCTGGCTGCAAACCATATCCGGTAGGGGTCGCCGGCCGAGGCTTGCGAGCCTTGCATCAGGATTGTCAGGGCATTCTGCGTATCGTCTCCCTCCTCGTGGCCGCCGATGGCGCGGTTGAGGAAGTGGTCTCGGATGTGGGGGTGGTTGTGGAAGTAGGCCTTGATGACGTCAGCGCCGGCACTGCGCATGTCGAAGAGGTCGCTCGTGGCCGGCGTCAGGACGAGGTTCAGGAGGGCCTCGATGACGTAGACGGTTGCGACGCCGTTGGGAGTGGGTGCGCCGTTGGTGGCGGGGCGGGCGAAGGGGCGCACCTGCTCCTGGGCGAAGCCTTCCTGCATGCGGGGGTTGCCCCTGATGAGGTCGGCGCAGGTGCTGAGAGCCTCGACCCGGATCACAATGGCCGTGGCCGGGTCGAAGGCGATGCCCAACAGCTGTCGCACGAGGCCGTACTGCACAAAGGCGGCCTGGTTCTGCGGGGTCACGGCGCTGCCCTTGACCAGGAACATGCGCATGATGATCAGCAGGCCCCAGACGTTCTTGTCGCTCTGCGGGCTGACCCAGTCATCGTCGTCGTCGTCGGGCGGACCGCGCGGCTTGCTCGCCCTGTTCGCCTTGGCGCCGCCCGGCAGGAGGGCGACCAACTGGCGCGGGTACTCCATCTTCATAAAGTACATCTGATTAGACGGGTTGACGCGCACCAGGTTCGCCAGCAGCGACAGGCAGTCCTGCACGACGACGCCGCCCTGCGTCAGGCCGCCGTCGGCGTGCACCAGGGCGAAGAGCTTGGCGAAGACGTCCTCGAAGACGAAGACCTTCTGCAGCTCGGGGGCGTCGCGGGTCAGGTCGGCCAGCAGGGCGAGCGCCTCGGCGCGCACCATGTCGCGGGGGTCGTCGAGCATGGCGGCCAGGCGGCTCGTGCCCATCGGGGCCGTCTGGATGCATTCGCGGGTGCGGTCGGGGCGCGCATCGGCGCAGGCGCGCAGCAGCTGCAGCGGATACAGGCGGGAGTAGAGGTCGGGCGTGTCGAGCAGGTCGAGCAGCAGGGTCGCGTTGTCCTGGCGCTGTCATGGCTCACTCAGCTCGGGGCGGCGCAGGGCGACTGGATGGGACGCACCATGGTGAACTCGTCGGCCAGCCACATGTGGATCTCGTCGGCCGTCTCCGGGCTGTCAGGGTGCGGGTGGAAGAGGGCCAGCAGCGTCTCGAGCACCACCTTGAGCGTGTCGACATCGTCGGCGTCGTTGGCGAGCGACGCGATCAGGCCGCGCAGGGCGCCCGAGGCGACCGAGGCCGGGTAGTCTTTGGCGAAGCTGCGCAGGCCGAGCAGGGCGGCGCGGCGGTCCTCGAGCAGCGTCGCGCTGGCCAGGCGGCTGCTGAGCGTGCTGATGGTGTCGGCCGCCGTCTGCCGGGGCGGCGCGTTGGCCTCGAGCACGCGCAGCATCTTGGCGGGGGGGGGAGGGAATGGCGGCGACTCGCGGGCTATGGATGCATCGACGACGGACTTGGGACGACGAGCTGTCAACGCTGCTAGAGGAAATGCATGCAGAGGACACGCGTGGTGGCTTCCATGTTCCCCTCGCACCGAGCCTCCACGTAAATTCGGCGCTCGGACGACGAGCTGCGACAGCCCTGTCGGCAGAACTCCGGGTCCTCGTCTTCGCCGAAGAATCTCATTCATCTCACATTATCGAGTGCGCCTCCATCCTCTCACCACTCACACCCGTCGCGTCGCCCGGCAACAGGGCATAGGAACGACTGCGACTCCGTATTGGCGTGACTTCACATCCCACATTTCTCCTCTCCCGCGGTCGCTCCCGAGCAGCGTCCAGTCCACGTTTCGCCTCTCTCTTCAGCCTGCATTCATCGACGCAGCGTTTTCGTCTTCGTGTAGTGCACTGCAATACTGTAATAGGACTGTGATCCTCAGTATTCGCGCTTTCGCTCCCCCAGTGCCACGTTTCGCACCCACCAGGCCGCACGCCACCGCGCGCCCCCCGCCACTATGGGTGTTCCCGCCATGTTTCGCTGGCTCAGCCAGAAGTACCCCAAGATCGTGTCCACTGTGATAGAGGAGCAGGCGAAGAAGGTCGGCGACCATGTCGTCCCCGTCGACCGCACCACGCCCAACCCCAACGGCGAGGAGTTCGACAACCTGTACCTCGACATGAACGGCATCGTGCACCCGTGCTCGCACCCCGAAGACAAGCCTGCGCCCAAGACTGAGGCTGACATGATGGTGGCCATCTTCGAGTACACTGACCGCGTCGTCGGCATGGTGCGCCCGCGCAAGCTGCTCTACATGGCTGTTGACGGCGTCGCCCCGCGTGCAAAGATGAACCAGCAGCGCTCTCGCCGCTTCCGCGCCGCCAAAGAGGCCGCCGAGAAGGACGTAGAGCGCGCCGAGTTCGTCAAGATGCTCAACTCGCAAAAGGCCAGCCGTGGTGAGGACATCAACAGCATTGAGGAGGTCGTCGAGAAGACCTGGGACTCCAACGCCATCACCCCTGGCACCCCCTTCATGCATCTTCTCGCCGAGTCTCTGCAGTACTGGTGTGCCTACAAGTTCACGACCGACCCGTCGTGGAAGGACATGAAGGTCATCATCTCTGACGCCTCTGTGCCCGGTGAGGGCGAGCACAAGATCATGAACTTTGTCCGCTCCCAGCGCGCCATGCCCACTCATGACCCCAACACCTCGCACGTCATCTACGGCCTGGATGCCGATTTGATTATGTTGAGTCTTGCAACCCATGAACCTCGCTTCCGTGTACTCCGAGAAGACGTCTTCTTCGACTCCGGTAAGGACAAGGTTTGCACGCGCTGTGGCCGCAAGGGCCACATCCGCAACAACTGTGAGTTCCCAGACGACGGGAAGAAGCTCACCGAAGAGGAGGCTGCCGAAGAGTGGGCTTCGTCCGAGCACCAGCTCAAGCCTTATATCTGGCTACACACCGGCATTCTCCGCGAGTATCTTGCCGTCGAGATGGACACTCCCAAGAGGACCTTCAAGTACGACCTGGAGCGCGCCCTCGACGACTGGGTCTTCATGTGTTTCTTCGTCGGCAACGATTTCCTGCCCCACTTGCCCAGTCTGGAGATTCGTGATCAGGGCATCGATCTGCTCATCAGCATCTGGCGTGAGCTTGCTGCCGAGATGGACGACTACGTGACCAAGGACGGCTTCCCAGACATGCGCCGCGTGCAGCAGATCCTGACTGCCCTGGCTGGTAAGGAAGCTGACATCTTCAAGAAGCGCAAAGAGGTCTCGGATCGCCAGGCCGCCAAGCGCGCTCAGCGTGAGGCTGGCAACAACCGGGGCCGCGGCGGCCGTGGAGGTCGTGGAGGGCACGACAGCGGCGCGCCGCCCTTCAAGCGCGTCAAGGAAGACACCAGCACCTACATGAACTCTGGCGTGCTGTTCTTCGCCCCGCAGGATGCCCAGTCGAACGAAGTGCGCGACGCCCACAAGGACGTGCTCCACAACCGCGATCTCCAGACGAACAAGAGCGCCGCAGCCCGTCTCAAGGAGATGATGAAGACCAAGGCTGAAGGCACCGCTCCAACAGACGAGTCGACGCCTGCCTCTGAATCTGCTTCCGGCGCCGACACACCCGTCCACCTCGGCAAGCGCAAGGCGGACGAGGTCGAGGACGCGGACAACGGCACACCCGGGCGCAACACCCCCGTCGTGCCAGACGACCCGGTCCAGGCGCAGAAGAAGGACCCGGACGCACCCGCAGAGGACACCGTCATGCTCTGGGAGCCCGGCTACGAGGAGCGCTACTACCAGCAAAAGTTCCACGTCGCGCCAGATGACATCGCCTTCCGCAACAAGGTCGCTCGCCAGTACGCCGAGGGTCTCTGTTGGGTGCTGGCGTACTACATGCAAGGCTGCCCTTCGTGGACATGGTACTTCCCCCACCACTATGCTCCCTTCGCCGCCGATTTCGTCGGTCTCGAAGACATGAACCCACGCGAGCTGTTTGAGGAGGGCCAGCCTTTCCATCCCTACGAGCAGCTGATGGGTGTGTTGCCCGCCGCCTCCAACCACGCCATCCCCGAGCCCTTCCGCGTCCTCATGGAAGACCCCGAGTCGCCCATCTACGACTTCTACCCTGTCGACTTCCCCATCGACCTCAACGGCAAGAAGTTTGCCTGGCAGGGTGTCGCGGTCCTGCCCTTCATCGACGAGAAGCGTCTCCTCGACGCCATGGCGACAAAGTACCCCGAGCTGTCGCCCGATGAGAAAGCGCGCAACGAGTTCGGCAAAGAAACGCTCATGTTCTCGCAGCAAGGCCAGCTCTTCAACGACGCAAACACGGCGCTCTACCGCACCGCGCTCAAGAAATGGGTCATCGATCACGCAAAGTCCGGCGCCCTGCACGGCGAGATTGAGCCCCATGACCTCTTCGTGCCGGACTCCCAGCTCGTGCCCCCGTTTGACGCAGACGGCGCGACCGACTTTGAACTCGTCCAGGACGGCTCTATGAGGTGAGTCCCTTCACTCCACAATTTTCACAAAGAATACTAATACCGCATAGGGTCTACTACGAGATGCCCCCCTTGAGCGCCGCCAACGCACACAAATCCGTGCTCCTCAAGGGCGTCAAGCTCCCCATCCCCGCGCTCACAGAAGGCGACATCGCAGCCACAAAGCGCAACCAGGACCGCGGCGGCCGCGGCGGATACCGAGGACGTGGCGGGTACAACGACCGCGGTCGTGGCGGCCGCGGAGGGTACAACAACGACCGCAACGGCGGGTACAACAACGGCGGTCGTGGCGGCTACGGCGGCAACGGCGGCTACAATGACCGCAATAGCGCCGGTGGATACGCCGCGCCCGCCGGCCCGCCCGGCTTCCCAGCGCCCTTTGTCCCAGGCGCAAACGCATGGCCCCCGGCCCCGGCGAACGGCATCCCGCCTCCCCCGCCGGGCTGGGTCCCGCCCCCAGGCTTCGGCGCTCCGGGCGGGTTTGCCGCACAGGGCCAGCAAGCAGGCCGACCAGCGTGGATGGGGCAGCCGCAGCCGCGCGGCCCGCCGCCGTCTCACGCTGGCGGGAATGGCTACGGAGGCGCGAATCGCGATTCGTATGGCGGTGGTGGCGGTGGTGGCGGTGGTGGTGGTGGTAATGGAGGGGGCTACCAGGGCAGAGACGCGTACAATGGCGGTGCAGGTGCGAGGAGCGGCGGGTATCAGGGCGCCAACGCGTACGGGGATCGGCCGCGGAACGAGCGCAATGGGCGCGGCGGGAGGGGAGGGTACAGCGGCGGCGGCGGTGGGAATAGGTCGTATGGCGGCAACGATGGGCGGTGGAAGGAAGGCAGTGGTTAGGCGCCGCGCGCAGATCTGATCCGAGGGCAATTAGAAGCGCGCATGTCTTCTAAAGCACTTGCTCCTGCAGAGAATAGGGAAGTAATAGAAAGGAGGCAGGTTTAATTTATTTATGGTTGTACGAAGCAGCGCATCTATGTACTGCCCTCTCAGCTTTTCCTATGTTTTGAGCTCCTGATCGCTCACACCCTTGTCTGGCGCAGCTGGAGAGGAGACAACCTGAGACTGCTCTTGTAACGCAATCGCTTTGGTACGGTGTTGGCGACATCCACGGGTAGTTGGGTGATGATCTCCAAGGATAACACTGAGCCCATCGCATGCCCTATCGTACAGAGCAAGAGATTCCTCGTAGTCATATTGCTTCGCAAGCAGGTGAGCAAGGCAGTAAACGCTGGTCAGCGTGTCAGGATGCTCGCGCCCCAGCACCATCTCTCTTGTTGCCAGCGTCTGCCTATGCATCACTTCTGCCTCCTCGTACTTGCCCTGCCTGTCCAGCACTAGCGCCAAGTTG